TCCCGCCGCGCGCACGCGGCATGGAGCTGGGAGCCGGCTGCGCCGGCGGGTGCGGCCCAGGCTGTGGGCAGCGAGAGCCCTTGGGGTAACCCGGTGGGGAGAGTCGGGGGCAGGGGCTGCCGAGCGCTAGGGGCCACGGGGGAATGACAAGATGGTGGGTCCGGCCTGTGGGGAGGGGGCTGAGCCCAGGCAGGGGGTGGGAAGCGTGTTGCTGCTGGAGGTCAAGGGGACAGAAGGGAGTGACGGAGGGGGAGACCCCTCCAGATGACAGGCCCAGCAGCAAGCAGTGTCCCCCAAAAGGAGAGGAGTCCCATGCCCCTTGCCCCAGTGCGGTGACACTGCAGACGAGCCGGGGTCAGTACGCTGGCTGTGCCGGTGGGGGCTGGGGACATGGCTGGCAATGGCGGATGCGCCGCGCTGCCTTTCTTCAGGGTCTGTTCCCACCTGCAGGGGCGCTCTGAGAAGCCGTGTGGATCCCAGATGCCATGGGGAGAGGCCGCCGTTCAAGGTCCAGGGGGACGAGCCCCTGCCTGGGGTGCCCGTGGAGAGGCTCCCGGGCTGCGGGGAGACGCTGACAGCCACCACCAAGAGGCTCCAGGAGACGTCAGACATAGCCAAGCCCCCCCAGGAGATAGCAGACACGGATGAGCCGCCTACTGTGGCCTTACCAGTTGTGCCCAGCAGGGTACCATCCCCAGAGACTGGGAAGGATCCCTCTGGGATCAAGCTGCCTCCCTGGCTTGGAAAGTGGGGGACCAGCCCCGAGGACGAGTCCCCCACCACAATGCCGGCGCTGCCCCCTATCCCACCCCCGCCAGCAGAGAAGCCCAGCCAGTCGGTGCCCCAGCGGAGCCGTGTGACCCATGACTGGCAGAAGGAGGTAACTCCATAAGGAAAAATGCCCCTCAGAGTTGGCCCCATCGTGTCCTACATGCTGATCTTGTGAAGCTCCCTGCTCCTGGGCAGACACATGTCTTTAAATAGCCACCCGGACGACCTTGAGCCCAGCAGGATAGAAAAGGGATGAAACTCAATAGCACAAAAGGCACAGGCAGGCACGTGGGGAGTAACAGTAAGGCAGGAGGGGAGCTGGGATCTCGCTGCTGGGAAGCAGGAGCTGTGTGTGGTGGCTCATCACAGTGATGTGGGGATGCCTGCTTGGGCAAGCCAAGCTGGGGGGCACCTGATGGACCAAACTGTGCCACAGCCTGGGGACTCCATGGGTTGTTGTAAGAGCTCTTGCCCAGGGGCAGTCTGGGCACCCAGGTGCTTGGGACTGCCATACAAGGCTGGCTGACCTCCATCAGGCAGGACAGGTCAGCCATGCCCAAACTCATGTCCCTGCTCCATCTTTCCCAGGCTTCTGGCCAGAAAGCTCACAACACCTCTGTATGACTTACGCCTCTAGGTCTATCAAAAGCCAGGAGTGGGCATGGGGAAGTGCAGCATGTGCTCCTGCCTCCTTCCACAGCCCCCACTGTCCATCCCCAGGTACTTGTGGATCCCTTGGACTCTCGGCCAGGGAAGGATTTGGGCAGTGAGGACTTCCAGCATGGCTACCATGGACTGCCGATCCACCAGTTTCTCTCCTCACTCACTGACAGCTCCCCCCCGAAGGACTGCCCACCCCTCAGGGCCATGCTGCTGGGGCAAGGTGAGGCTGACCCCAACAAGCCATGTGCACCCCAAAAAGGCAGCAGGAGAATCTTAGTTGGGAGGCTGATGGCACCTTCCTCTCTGCAGGGCAGCGGAAGGCTACATTGGCATCCATGCTCTACGAGAAATACAGGCAAGCATGCACTCCCACATGAGACCCCCCCTTGGGGCTGTGTCCCAGAGAAGGGGACCTGGGGAGGCGGGGAACCCAGAGCTGAGAGGTGCGCGATCTGCTCTGACTGCAGTAAGGAGACAGAGGAGGAGATCCGTCCGCGCCCGAAGCGCATGGAATCTATCTCCACCACGCACCACGACTACCGTGCCATGGGTTTCCAATCCACACCCCAGCCCACCACCCAGGTACAGGCAGTAGACATCCCCCCTGACAGTTTGCAGCAGCCTCCAGGGAGGCAGCAAGGCTTTTGTCCTGCTGAGCATGCCATCCCCTCCGGCTCACATTTTGCTTCCACTGCAGCGTCACAATTACTTAACGGAACAGCCAACCAGCTTCTGGCTGGAGCAAGCCCGTGGAATGCCGGTAAGGCCCCCACCACCCTGTCCTGTCAGCACCCTGGGAGTCTCAGCTGCTGACAGAGACCTCTCCAATTCTCTCCTCTCCAGGGTGTCACTGCCCTCTTCGGCAGAAACATTCCCTTCAAGAGGAATGCAGACTTCTCCACTCCCATTACCATGTACTTAGGGCATCCTGAGCCCTTCAACCTCTGTGACCCCTATGACCCCCTGAGCAGACAGCTCCAGCCCCACAAGTAATAAAAAACAAGGGGACACAGGTGGTCCCAGCATCTTTGCCTACCCGAAGGCTGTCCTCAAGCTGAATGTTTGGATGGGGAGCACTGTGTCCCTGGGATCTCAAATCCCATGAGAGCATGAAGCAAA